ATAAGGTCGATAGGCTAATACTTTGGCCGAGTTCAATTGCAAGATTTTGTATAAATTTGGGAAGAGCAACATCATGGTAAATGCTTTAAGTTGAAAAGCAAACTTGAAGTTGGCAATATTTAGCATGATAACAACCTTTTGGGATGATGTGCAAACAGTGTATGAGAATGATAGTCTAACATAAGAAGTGTTGCTAAGGAACCAAGAAGCACAGGATGCTCACCAAAGAGGCAAGCCACCCACGGAAGAGAAGACAAGTTATACAAAATACAATGGACTCATTTATTATAAACATACGAGGGTATATATTTCACAAGGGGAGGTAAGGAAAGTAACTTTAGAAGAATGTCATGATGGACCTCTTGTGGGACATTACAGAGTGCCCAAAATGATGGGCTTACTCAAGAGAAAGTATCACTGACCAGATATGGATAAAGACATCCAAAATTACATAAAGATATGTCTAACATATCAGTAGATCAAAACTGTGATTAAAGCTAGTAAGGCCTTGTTACAAAGCCTCTCAATTCTAGATTGTCCATAGAAATATCTTACGATAGACTTCATCACGAGACTCCCTCCAAGTGGGGGGTTTGATGCAATATTCATGGTGGTGGACTAATTTTCAAAAATAACATATTTCATACCCATCAAACAAAAGTGGATGTGGAAGGTGTGGCAAAGTTGTTCTTTGAAAAAGTGATTCAAGTACAAAGAAGGCCAAAAGAGATTCTCAAATCAAGATAAGATTTTCACAATAAGGTTCTAGAGAACTCTCTTGGAATAATATCGCACCAAGTTGAAATTTAGCATAGCCTATTATCCACAAACAGGTATTGGGTATTAAGTCAAGTTTGATGGTAATAACACTTCTTGATAAATAGACAAACAGAAAGGGTGAATAGGCAACTAAAGGATTATTTACAATGTTATGTCTTTGGAGACTAAACTGATTAGGTAAGTCATTTGGGACTTGAGGAAATATGCTATAAAAACTCACCACATTTGAGTATTGGGGTGAGTTTATGGGAAGTCATCAATGGGCAAACTATTAAATGTTTTATAGAACTCAACATGGCAAAATATCATGAACAGTTACTTGCAGTGGAGGCATTTGTAGCAAAAAGACTCAACATTTGGAATTTAGTGAGGGATTCTTTAAAACGGGCTCAAGAAAGGCAAATTAAATACACAAACCAAAAACATCAAGATGTAGAGTTCTAACATGGGGATAAGATGTGGCTAAACACCAAGAACCTAAAGTTACTAAGTGGGATTAGCTGAAAGTTGACCCAAAAGCAAAATGCATGTATTTCTAGAAATGAACTGATCTTGAGTTCCTTAAACAAATTTGCGGGGCCTTATAAGATTGAGACTCGAATTGATAAAGTGGCTTACCATCTCTGACTTCCTCGAGAAATAGGGAAGATACACTCTGTGTTTCACGTGAACTTACTCAAACCATACTTTGAAGATCCACTTTGCAAGGACTAAGTAAAACCTCTACCTGAGGTGATCCAAAAGGAAAAGGATTATGAAATCAAGACCATCCTCAATGCATGTAAGGGCAAGTGACAAGAATGAAAAGTGAGGGAGTTCCATGTGAAGTGGAAAGAATTTCCACATTATAAAGTAATATAGGAACCAAAAAAGAACCTAGTAAACACATGAGATTTAGTAAAGGAATTTTTGCAAGATAGAACTCTATGTACTTATGCAAAATTCAATTAAAGAATCTATTTGAGAAATTGAGCAATATTATATATTAGGACCCAAAGGTACACCAAATATAAGCTAATTAGTATGGGTTAACTAGATTAACTAAGCATAGGGAACTACACCCTACTCCTTGTGGGGTGAATCCATAGACATATTCTATGGAGGTTGAGTTCAAGTTTTAAAGCAAAGTTGTGTTCAAGTCCTAACCCCATACTAAGGTGTGGTGAGTGAGGGGTATAGGGATACCTATATTCCATTGTCATGGGCTCTTGGCCAAGGAGGCTAATTTAGGCATACCACTAAGTGGGGGGATGCCCCTGAAGACATAATCAACAAGTCGTAGGATTAAAAAAAAACATTCAATGTAGACATTGAACTTCTTTTGTGGGTGGTAGAGTTGTAAAGAACTAACTCCCTGAGGTGTCATAGGATAAAGGATCCCCAAAAACACAACCGAAATGATAAAGAGTTCATTAGATGAGATCGAGTCTGAAATCAAGTTCGACACTGACTCTAAGACTAAGTTCAAGACTGAGTCCGAGATTGAATCTAAGACTAACTTCGAGATTGAGTTCGAGACTGAGTCCAAGTTCGAGACCGAGTCTAAAATCCAAGACTAGGTCCGAGATCGAGTTCAAGATTGAGTCCGAGATTGAGGCAAAGGCCAAGTTCAAGGTCAAATCTAAGATCAAGTCTAAATACTAATATAGGTCATGGGGTGAAAGCCCAAAGTGTGTGTCTTGCAAGGGGGAGGGGGATAGTGAGGTCTAGGAACCAATCTTGAAAGAATTCTCTAATAGTGCTTTCAAACTAACTTAAAGTTGAGATTGGGGCTTAGGAGCCTTGAGTGGGAGTGAGCATGGACTTGGGTGGTGCCAAATGGGCCACCCTAAAAAGTGCTCAAAAGCAACTCCCACTCCCAGAAGGGAAATCAATTATGGTGCTTCCGACTCATGTGGAGTGATGCTCCATTTAAGTACCTTGCAGCTCATTAACTGTTGCCTTTCTTAGGTATCCATACTAGCCACAGTGTTTCCTCCGGTGTCCCTTCCAATCACCCCTCTTTAGGTTAGACTGGACTTAAGGTTCGTGTAAGCTCCTGAATTTGGACTTCCCGGGAAGTCACCCAGCCCAGTACTATTCAAACCCAATGACGCTTAACTCTAACTATCCTAAGACCCTTAACCGATTGGAAAAGGGGGTGCACTCTTATTCATGGGCACTTTCCCTCTATATTTGAACCCAACGGATCATCTCTCAAGTTGTTCCCTTTGGTTGCTTACAGTTCGGCTACACTTTCCGCAAGTACAAACAACCAAACAAACTAAGCCTCTAAATTTTTAATATCCCTTGGTACAACAAGATTTGATCATAAATCCCAAACCTTGGGTGTAACATTTGCTTCGAGAATTTAGGAATTCGTGGATGGATGGTTAACATTCCATTGTTTGAATAGTGAGTTGTTAAAACCAAATTGCACCAAACAAAAGCTAGTACAATAAGCAAGAATCTTGGCGAAGGAACGTAATTAAGGCTAAGGTTGTGGTGATTGGATAGATGAGGTAAATTAGCAAGTTGAAAAAGAAAAATTTATAACTTACATTACTCTTTTCTAAATTTCTGGGCTTGAGCCATTTTTTCATATTCTTTGTTTTTCTTCCTTATTTACAATATTTCCTTCTCCTAAATGTTGATTATTGTAACTTTTATTATTCTCATTAATTTAGTATTTAAGCTAAGAGTTTTTGGTCCTTATACTAATCTAGATATTAAGTATGTGTGAAGTTGAGATTTTTATTTTTATTTTGTTGAGAAGTCTTTAATCAATTCTAGTATTAAGTATTCCTTTATTCTACTACCAAAATTTTGGGTTAAGTGCATATTCTTGATTGGAAGTGTTACTGAAAAACTTTGTTTTACCATTGTTATTGAGGAGTTTATATGTTCTCTAGATTTTTCTATTTTAAGTATTGAGTTATGTGTTAAGGAAGTTTAGCTGTATGAATCTTTTATTTATCTTATGGTGAATAAAGTATCTTATAACAACACATCCCTTATTCTTTAAGTTTTAAACACATTTTTTTCTTTTTACTTCATTATATCCATTTTGATAATTATTAAAAATTTCTTTTCAATTACTTCTTTATCCACTTTTTCTTCTTCCATAATGTTTTTTCTTCAATTTTTCCCAATTTCTCTTTTTTATTTTGAGATTTTAAGCTTTTTTCTCTTTGAGGAAGGGGTAAAAGGGATGGCCGAATAAGAGTGAAGATAGATGGATATGGTAGTAAAGTGAAAGTAAATTATATAGATTTTGAAGTAAGGATGAATATAGTGAGTTTAAATAGAACATTTAGCCTCAATATAATTAGGCTAAATAGATACTATAGTAAAGTAAGGCCAAATCTAAATAGCAAAATAAGGATGATTATAATAAATTTAAATAGAGTTGATGCTTCAAAAAAAAATTCCTTCAAAGAGGGGATAAAGAAGATATAAAAGATGAATGGAGTGCTTATGTAGTGCTAAATGAGAATGAAAGTTAGAAGTTTGAGTTAACATAAAGGCTTAAATCTTGATTAAATGAAAGAGATATAGACAGATTTTGTTAATGGTCATAAGTTTGAATTAACAATGGTCTCAATATATGGCTGGTGGGTAGATTTAAAGGCATGATGTATTATTTATTGCAATAGTGTTTTATGGACTCTAAAAATTCTTAAAGTCTTTTGCTTTGATTCAAAATTATAATTTCAAGGTTGATTTGAGCATTTAGCAATTACATAGAGTTGTAATTAATTTATCAAGATTCTGTAGTTAATTAATACTTATGCCATAACTTTGTGTTTTGTTTCTATCATAGTTGTTAGTAATTACATTAGTTGTTATATGGGAGTTTCAAGTTCTTATAACATTTTATAATTGACTAGTAGAATCTCTAGATGTTCCACCAAATTTATAATTATCACATTTTCATCTTTTAGAGAGAAGATTTATATGTGTGTGTGTGTGTGTGTATTAATCTGCTTAGGTAATACACTAATTAATGGATTAAATAAATTTTGTTTAAAAAATAATAATTCAATATTACAATCAAGTATAGTGCAAGTTAGCATCATAGCAATACTAGTTAACTTTGGCCCGCAGTTCCATCTTTTTAAAGCATTATTGCATTTAGGGATTGCTCATTGGGAAAGTCACAAAGTCAAAAGATGGATTGGAAAAGCTGGTTATGTCCATGTAGCATGGAGGAACATGCCATTCTGTTCCATGAGAATGAGCTAACTCAACCATGATCTGCTCAAAAGCATCGGTGTCAAAAATGCAAGCGACAGGATCAGCATTTTGAAGCACAGGGATAGCCAAATCGGTAAGGCATCGAATGAGAAGGTCTCTAAGATCGTAGGAGATGCACAGTCGGACATAATCTCGCGGCTCAAGCAGAGCGGGGGCATCAGTGAGGAAATGCTCCTGGGATGGGTCAAGGAAAAATGGCCCAAGTGCCAGAGGAATGTTTTGGTAAAGCAAGGGGGTATCTTACCAAAGATGCACCAGGCCAAGGCCTTGCCGCTATCTCAGATGAACACAGAACGGAATCCGGGAAGATGCTGCTCGAAAATGCAAAGGATATGCTGTGGGCTCTGCTGTTTGGAGACGCAGAGAGTAGCGTGAACCTTGACAGAGATCAAAGAGAGCTTCTTTCTCTCACAGTTCCACAGAAGAAAGCATACGCTTTCAACTTCTTCCAGGTTAGTCTATGAATGTTTTAAACCCGACTTGATCTGGGTTTTGCTTTTAAGGTGGTGACCGAGGTGGGCGTCTCGGGGACACGGCGAGATCCGGACAACGTGAGAAACGACATTGGTGCGCATAACATCCTGCTTCAGATCGAGTTCGGCGACACAAGCTCCGAGCTTGTTGGAGATGGAATCATGGTGTGCATTCACCTCATTAATCTTCTCCAAGTCAACGAGCAGGTCCTGTATGCTCGCATGTCCAATGTGGAGCAGAGCACCCTGCTCACATCCCTTCACTTCCAGAAATGAATCCACGCAAAATCTTCTTCTGTGACGAATCAACCAAGTTCCGCTCAACGATTTGCTCTATAATTAAAGTTCATTTTAAGTTTAAAGATTAATGAAATAAATTCAAACGAACTTGGATCGCACTTGCTCGATGGTCCTCTCATCCAAAAAGAAGGTCTTCTTGAGCACCTCAGACGGGACCTCTGGGCGGGAACCAAACATGGACGCTGCAATGAACTGGATTCCAGGAAACTGGGAGTTGAGAATGGCAATGATCTTCGCATTTGTTCTTCCAACGTTCATCTGCCAGTGAATCAATCCGCGAGGAATCACCATAACTTCGCCCCTGTTGATCACCCGAGCAAACAAGCGATTGTCCGTGGTGACAATGGCGGCGTAGACGCTCCCCTCTTCTACGTAGACCATCTCCGAGCCTCTCGGATGGGTGTGTGGGGGGATGAATCCTCCGGGAAGGAAGTCGAGCCTGGCGAGGGAGAGACCCAAGGTGTTGAGGCCTGGGAATCTTCTCACTGTTCCAAAGATTGCCCCTGAGCGATTGATGTTTGTGGTGTTGGAAGAATTGACGATTTCGCTGTAGATGAAATCGTCCACGGTGACTGTCGATGAGTTCCTGCAAGGGAAGCCATTGATACCGGGCACAACATTGAGATCTCCAATGCAAAAGTCTTGGAGTGGGTCTGGATCAGATGAGACTACTGAGAAAACAAACAATGCTAGGAAGGCAGCCAGCACAGCTTGAGCTTTGGAGAGAGCCATCTTCGTTCTAAAACTCTAGAACTTCGGATTGGGGTGGAGGGATGAATGGATGAAATGCGTGTGAATGCTTTGGCTGTCCAAGCACTCCAGCTTTTATAACTGGAAAATGTGTTGATTTTTTTTCATGGATGGCTAATGTGAAACACGATTTTGGACGCCGAGTCAGCCAACCATGCTGGAACAAAAAAATTTTAGTCAATAACTTGGTTGTGCGAAAATCCGGCAGTCAAACTTGGTGAAAGTCAAGCTAAAGTTGTTTTGGATCGAGGAGTTTAATGAATTGAAAGTCCTAATACAAAGAAAAGTCTATGGTTTACATGATCCCATTTAAATCCATGATCATGTCAAAGTAGCTCGACAATGATATAATTGATAATTTTTGCATTCTCTAAAGTTTATGATCTTTGCGGATATACAGTCACTCAAAGTACTTGATTTCAAGACTTGAAATTTTTTCTTTTATAGAAAAAGGGAAAAAAAATGAATACATAACAAATTTTACATAAAGCTGGATCGGACATGATCGATGGTGTTCTCGTCCAAGAAGAAAGTCTTCTCTAGCACCTCATTTGGGATTTGGGGTCGAGACCCAAAAAAGGACGATCCAATAAATTGAATTCCAGGAAATTGGGTGTTGAGAGTGGCAATGATCTTCGCATTTGTTCTTCCAACGTTCATCTGCCAGTGAATCAATCCTCGGGGAATCACCATAACTTCGCCTCTGTTCATCACTCGAGCAAACAAACGATTGTCTGCAGTGACAATGGCGGCGTAGACGCTCCCTTCTTCTACGTAGACTATCTTCTGGGATGGGTGTGTGGGGGAATGATTCCTCCGGGAAGGAAGTCGAGCCTGGCGATGGAGAGACCCAAAGTGTTGAGACAAGGAAACCCCAGTGCTGTTCCAAAGATGGCGCCGGAGCGATTAATGTTTGTGGTGTTGGAAGATTTGATGATTCCGTTGTAGATGAAATCGTCCACGGTGACTGTCAATGAGGTCCTGCATGGGAATCCATTGATGCTCGGGACAACGCTGAGATCTCCAATGCAAAAGCCCTGGAGTGGATCTGGATCCGATGAAACAACTGATAAAACAAAGAATGCATGCCAGGCGATAGACACGACTTGAGCTGTGGAAATAGCCATTTTCCGTTTGAAACTAAATGAAGCTTTTGAGCGTCGCTCAATAGGGCCTTTTTATGCTTGGAGAATCATCCACTGCTTAGATAACTAGTCGTAGAATACCAAGTAAGCCTACCATTTCGGACGCCAAAGAATCTAAAACTCACGTGGAAAACTAGGAAACGCTGAAAGACACGTCAACAGAAGTCAAATACTTTGATTTTTGACGCGGTCAGCATAACAAAAGAAAATGCAACATTTTGAGCTGGGGGTGGTGACGGTGAAGATCATTTAAGTTGAAGGTGGAGGGGATAAAGGTGACGGTGGTGGTGGTGGAGTGGGAAGATTTGGGATAGGAACTCCCACTGCAAACGTTTCCATATGTGTGGGAGATGGAAGTGGCACTGATGATGATGGTGACGGCGGTGGAGTGAGAGGTAAATCTGGAACAGGAACTCCTACCACGTCTGCTTTGGAAGCTTCCATCACCAAGGAAGCTGGAGGTGGTGGTTATGGTGGTAGTGACGGTGGAGTGAGGAGTAGCAGATTTGGGAGTGGAACTGGGATTGGCACTCCCACCACATCAAGTTTGGATTCCTCTAGTGCTGTGCTAGTCATTGGTGGCAATGGCCACTACGGTGGTGGTGGTGGTGGAGGTGGCTGTGATGGTGGTGGCGTCTGTGGTGATCCAGGTGGAGGTGGCTGTGATGGTGGAGAGCACTGGATGTAGATGCTCTTCCAGGTGAAGAACTTACACTGCTGGTCATTGCGATCGAAGGAGACACCGGCTCTTTTCTGGCAACGGGTAAGCTGTGGCGCTCTTGCCGTTGGTGTAGACGAACTTATAGCCTTTTTTCTGCTTGAAGTCGATGTTGTTGCATCCACACGCCTGGTATCCTTGTCGCAGTGGAGGCCCGAGTATGTGTCCAGGTAGCTCGCATTGGCCACAGAGCAAAGCCGAGCATGGAGAGAGTGATAGCAAGTTTGGCCACTAAAGCCATGGTGATAATCGAATTAAGATCACTGGAGCACGAAACAAGCTTCGAAAACAAGTATATGGATTACTTACACAAGCCAAGGCCGAGAAGACAAAGCTCACTGATTGAAGCGCTATGACGGAGCTCCGATTTATACTCTGGCTATTTTTTTCCTTCTTGACGCGTTAGAGTCTAGAAGTTCAGTACAAATGTAGCAGCTTTAACCAGTATGAACTAGAATCATGCAGAGAACCTCGCAAGGAACAAGATATATGTACAAATCCGATCAGGAGAAAACAAGAATCATGCCTTTATTATGTGCAGCAACACTCTTAGGGAGTAAAAACTTCATCTGAAATATCATTAAAGTTTAAAGAAGGGAAATATTCACTGTACAAACGTTATGCATAGACTAATTCAATCTCGGCGAAGGCCATCAATGTCGATTTTCTGGAAGCAAATGAGAAAACAATTTGTTAACATGAAAGCAGCTGGAAAGCAACCTGATTCATGCACATCTTCACCAAGTCATCAAGTTGGCTTTGTATCCGCCAAAGCCTCCTGATTGACGAAATGTAAGCGTGTCGTGAAACTCGGGCATGCCGACACTGAAGTTCCGTACTACAAAACCAGCAAACTATTGTTTCAGATCGTTTTCAGCAGATTTATCACTCTACCACTCTAAACACTGGAGCATGAACCGAGGCTTGCTATAAGCACAGCCTGGCCAAGGCAAGTAAACATGCCGACGAGAAAAAGAAAAGAGAAACTTGCCGATCGAAGCCTTGTAGTCTCCGGGATTTACATGAAATAAAATAAAGCAAGATGAAATTGGAGCAAGTAGTTTGAAAGCAGCAAATTTGACTTGAAGGCCGCCAGACGTTTCACAAAGGTGACATGATTCGAGAAGCACCCGCAATTCTGGGGCCTCGATAACCTGAAAAAAATGAAAGAGAAGTTTATGAGAGCTGCACGGAATGACAGGACAATATCAGTGGAGCAGGGGGCGGCAAGAAGAAGGAAACGGCGGACCGCCAGCGAAATCTATCTATGACACGAGCGTAAGAAGTGTGTTAGTCATTTTATTCTAGAAGCACAGCACGAGAGAGAGAGAGAGAGAGAGAGAGTATTACAACATACTGCTGATCCAACAGTTCCAAGTCCAATGAAAGCCGCCAGAGAACCAGCTTCAACCATGGCAATGTTCAACGCTCTGGTCACGCAAATTAGCTATTCAATTTTGAGCAAGAATTTAGAACTAGATAGAAGAACTAACCTGTAGGAATCCCACGAGCGTAAACCTTTGCCACCAAGGCCTCAAGAATGACCGTGTAATTGGTGAAAGGAGAGCAATTCAGGAAACGGTATCCACGGAGAAAAATCTCGTCTTGTTATCCACATAACTCCCACACGAGAAGTTCAGATTCGAGTGATCGAGCTTGCATAGCTTGCAACTTTTGTGATTCCCGGCCATCGCTACTGTGCTTGCGAGCTTGCTTGGATCCCCGATATGTGAAACACCGAAATGGAGAAAAAAAAAAGTTTTTTAAAGGAAATAGTTCTAAGAACAATGGAAGAATTTTTCCCTGTTTCTTCCTCAAATGCATGGATGAATTTGATTCCAGCCTGAGCAGGCAAATCTTTGATCTATTGCCGTGTTGCCGGGAATCTCATTTTGAAAGGAAAGCGCTAAGAGACAAATGCTGGCAATGGCAGTCATTTTGCGTGACACTAGGGCGCGTCATTGTCACGGCGATGGAGACGGAGAGTTCAATGGAGGAGCTCCTAAGCGTGGATTTCTTCGATCCCGCCAGGTATTGGGTGGAAGCGCTACCTGTTGGGAATGGGCGATTGGGAGCTATGGTGTTTGGAGGATCATCGTCCGACCTCATCCAGCTCAATGGTACATGATAACGGCTGGATTCATAGGGTTTTGTGCTACTTGTGCACTGCTATTTCCTCTTGAAATGCGTGAATGCATCCACTTTCTAAAAGTTCATATGTTTCTATGGACTCTTTAGAAACATATTCTTGTAGCATGGATTTATGTTCTCATCTTGCGCAGAAGATACACTTTGGTCTGGTGGTCCGAGAGACTGGAACAATCCCAATGCCGTGCAAGTTCTTCCCAAAGTTCGTCAGCTGGTTTGGGACGAAAAATATGCCGAGGCTTCAGACTTGTCCAAGCAAATGCTTGGTCCATACACAGAGGTACCTTCACTTCTCACTTGATAGCTCGAGACCTTTCTTTTTTCCCCAGGTTTATCAGCCCCTCGGTGATATAAAACTCGATTTTGGAACGTCTCACGCCACGTATGACGCTCAAAGCTATCACAGGCAGCTCGATTTAAACGCTGCTCTCGTCTCGGTCCGCTATGCCATTGGCGGCGTAAACTACACAAGGGAAGTTTTTGCGAGCTATCCTCACCAGGTTATCGTGATCAGGATATCTTCATCCAAAGCCGGTGCTGTCAGCTTCTCTGCAACTTTGGACAGTCCTCTTCAGACCAATGCATACGTAAAAGACTCCAACTTCATCGTCGTGCAAGGCCAGTGTCCGCTTCACGTCGAGGAACCAACATTATCCTCTCCTCGGTGTGAAAGCGACCAAAAGACTGGCATGAGCTTTGCTGCTGTGATGGAAGTTAGAACGAGCAGTGGTGCTGGCTCGGTGATCACAAAGCTCGGAATTCAGCAAGTTAGAGTTGAGAATGTGGACTGGGCCATGCTTGTGCTAGCGGCGAGTTCTTCCTTTGACGGTCCTTTCAAAAATCCAACTGGAAAAGACCCCGTTGCAGCATCTCTGGCAACACTGAAGTCAGTGGAAGCTTTATCATACGAAAAACTTTATGCTACTCACTTGAAAGATTACCAGGCTCTCTTCCACCGGGTCTCACTGCGGATCAACAAGAAAAGTGGAGAAAATTCAGTTGCAAGCACTACCAGTATGTCAACACAGGAAAGAATCCAAGCTTTTGCAAGTAATGAGGATCCAGCAATGGTATCGTTGCTCTTCCAGTTTGGACGATATTTGCTTATATCTTCTTCGAGACCTGGAACTTTTGTTGCCAACCTCCAAGGTATCTGGAACAAGGACTTGAAGCCTGCGTGGAGGTGAAATAAGTAAATCAAGTTCGATACTTTTTACAAGCTTCACTTACTCTTTCTTTTTGTTTTTGCAGATGCGTTCCACATCTAAACATCAATCTGGAGATGAACTACTGGCCAGCTGAGGTGTGCAATCTTGCTGAGTGTCACGAGCCACTATTTGATTTTGTGTCCTCAATGGCAATCAATGGTAGTCACACAGCTAAGGTATGAATGAGTTTTCTACTGGCATAAACTAAGCAAGGGGTGACAAAAACTTTCAGGTGAATTACAACATGAGAGGCTGGGTTACACATCACAATGCAGATATATGGGTGCAAACAGCACCAATTGGTGGTGACCCTGTCTATGCTCTCTTTCCCATGGGTGGAGCTTGGTTATGCTTGCATTTATGGGAGCACTACCGATTCTCTCTGGACATGGTTGCAATCTTTCCACTTTTCATTTTTGTCTTGGATTTGGAGAACTATTAACTTGGCTCTGTTTGCTTCAGGAGTTTCTTCGCAGCAAGGCATATCCATTGCTCACTGGCTGTGCACAGTTTCTCTTTGATTGGCTCACCGGAGATAACCACGGAATGCTCGTGACTAATCCCTCGACGTCTCCAGAGCATGTGTTTATAGCGCCAGATGGAAAACAGGCATCAGTGAGCTATGCGAGCGCTATGGACATGGCTATCATTCGATCAGTCTTTGATGCCACTTCTTCGGCTGCAGCTGTAAGTTCATACCTTCATTAAATCCTTCATTGTCTCCAGCTTCAAGTTTGTGTGAATTCTCAGATACTCCAGGAGCCGAACTCGCAGTTCACAGCCAACCTGAAGCACGCTACAGAGAACTTGTTTCCTCCAGAGATAAGTTCAAGCGGTCTACTGATGGAATGGGTATGTCTCTCAAGTTTTCCGAGCATGAAGCTTGTTTTGAAACTTGGTATGCTATCCAGGCAAAAGACTTTCAAGACCCGGATGTGAATCACAGACACATGTCACACCTGTTTGGATTGTATCCCGGCCACTCCATCTCGATTGAGAGCACTCCCGAGCTTTGCCAAGCTGCTGTTCGTAGCATGTACGTAAGAGGTACGTATTTTTCTTTCATTTTCCCCCCTCGAGCTGGTTTGAGGGAACGAAAACGTTTTTTTTTTTGTTTGCCAGGCGACGTTGGGCCTGGGTGGTCAATGGCCTGGAAGATTGCACTGTGGTCTCGACTGTGGAGCGCACAGGATGCATACCGCGTAGTCAAGAGGATGTTTACACTGATTGACGCCACTCAGACAACAGAGCGTCTGGACGGTGGTGGGCTGTATGGAAATCTTTTTAATGCTCATCCACCTTTCCAGATTGATGGGAACTTTGGGTAAGAACAAGTTCTCTGCTTTTAGATTTCTTTATCTTCTTGCAACACTTTTTCCTTCTCGACAGATTTACTGCAGCTATAGCTGAGATGCTACTCCAGAGTGATGAAACGAACATTTATCTCCTTCCGTCGCTACCCGAAGTCTGGATTTCTGGCGCAGTAACTGGGCTACGAGCGAGAGGTGACACAAGTGTGGACATCGCGTGGGAGAGGGGGACACTGTCCAGTGCGAGGATTGTCCCGGGCCCAAAGTGCTCATCTCACACCCGGAGAATTCATTACAGATGGAAAAGCTTTGAAATAAGGCTATCACATCCCTGCACGGAGTGGAAGCTGGATGAAATTTAGCTCTTGCATGAGTGCTCTTGGGATCTAGACCTTTGCATGTGGCTTGCGCGACGTCGTAATTGAATGCATGGCGGAAAAAGGAAATGTGATGTGGGATTTTACATCAATGAAACACAACGTGTGCAAATATGTTTTAAAAAGGTCATCGATTGTTACCAGAGATTCAAGCGATGAGTTCTTAGAGCAGATGCTTTTGCTGCTGTTGCTCAACACGTTGCTGCTCAAATTAAGAACACAAAGACCTGGAGGAACTGATGGAACTTCACATGTGAATTGGTTGTTATCAATGACTGAACAAGTTTTGATTTGCAAATACTGTGGTCCTGAGAAGGCATTGTTTGAGCAATCTCACCGCTTTCAGAAGACTGTTCCAGACACAGCTAGCTGTCAATATGGTTTTTTTTTTGTATATAACCAGTTGCAAAACTACGTGGCTGTGATGGAAACTTTTGTGGTTTTGAGAATGGTTTTTTTATCATAAAGTTGGGACCACAACAGAAGTGGTTTCATACATTAGATATAGTGTTTTGATGGAGAGAGTAATTTTTAGGTTGTTGCCTATAGATTTATATATTTGAATACAAATTGGTTACCAAGTATATAGTTTTAGATACAGTTTTCTAGTAACTAATCTTTTACTGTTACAGTAGTCCTAGGTATTTGTGGACCAATATTGAGAAATGACTATCTTGTACTTTAAAGACTATTTTGTTGCTGGCTTGCTTGTGCGGCCATGACATGTTACGCAGTCTTTTAGATCTACGACAGCTCAGAAGTTGGTTGGGCATCAAAATCAATTAGTCAAGAACCATAGAGAAGAAGTTATAACAACATTGCTAAGATAGAAACTCGTAAACACCTTAACAAACCCTAAGAAAAGTGTTATTATAATAAAAAATTATACTAAATTTTGATTATGTGAGAACTACTTTTAAAAAAAAGATTTTATAAGTATGCATTTATATTAATTGCCTAGCTAAGTAAATATTAATTAACCACCCTAAACTAACCATAAAAAAGATGGTGTTTTTTTTGTTTTTCTACGCTCTCCATCACGAAGAAAAAAAACAACCTGCGGTTTTCGCTGCCGCTGCTGTAACTGCTAGACAATCAAAATTCACAAATGGAGGGTGTCCCCACAGCTCGCTTCCCCAAAGTCACAAAACGAAAAGTGTTCTCTCACGATCAACTCAACCGCACCTCTTCTGAAAATCCCAAGCGTGAGTTTTTCCTTTTGTTCTCCACATCAATGCTTAACTCTTGGCTTGCAGCAGTCCCTTACCGTCCTTGATCGAGGAGAGTAGCCTATGTTCCTAAACTGCGACTCCCTCCACCTCCTCTTCCTCTCCGAATCCAGCAGGTAATTGATGTTGGCCTCGATGTTGGAAAGCATGTGTTTTATGTCCGTCCCTCCCTCGTCCGGTTCCTTGATCACTTTAATCTCGGCCCAGTTCTTCTTCCTACACTCCTCCCGCGATATCTCCACCGTGTCAACGTGCCCGACGCCCGGTTGAGACGTGCATCGATAGTGGCCGACCGGTTCTTCTGGCATATCGGAATCAAAGTTCACTGTCAATGTCGTGCAAGGTGAAGGGGACCTGGACTTGGTTTTGTGACTGTTAATCCAAAGAAGAGAGACATTGTTATGTGAGTTTAACAGGCAAGCAAGGACTAGAGATGAACTTACGAGCAAGGCGACAGCGGCGATGGACTCCGCGACATGCTCCTGGCTCGCGGCGAGTAGGGGCTCCGGCATCGTTGCGAGAGCGGGCTTCTGTCCCTGGGAGACATCGGGCTCTTGTCTCTGGGTGACACCGGGCTTCGTGGTGATACCATCGGACTCCGCGTTCTCTGTGAGAAGGGACTTGGCGGCCTCGGGCAGAACGGACTTCTCGTGCACGAAGGACTCCGGCCTTTCGGCGACACGCTTCTGCACGGCTTCCTCCTGTGGTCTCCTATATCATCTGGGGACCCCGGTCGAGAGTGGTGGTCCTGTAAAGAAACGTCTCAGTCAGTCGGTCCTTACACAAAAAGCTTTTTTTTTTCCACTCACCTGTATTCTAACTTCCACTCGTGGTGATCGTGATCCGGAGGTACTACGCAACAACTTGTTTACTTCTCGCTTCAAAGAATCTGTACTGACTTTGAGGCCGGCGTCGCAGCTGACAGTCTCGCGTTCTAAATCTTTCTGTAGCTTCCGAAGCATCAAGATCAATGGCAGAGTTCCACCGTCTGCTCCGCCCTCGAGGTAGACCTCTGCAAGTTTCGACAGAAGTCCATCAGCAGACCGTCTCTCGCCCGACCACGTCCACTGTCCCAAAGTATTTTATCCTCCCCTTGGTTACCATGCCCAGGATGTGCTTACCACACAAGCTTCCGAGCATCCAGCCCACTGTCGCCTTCTTCTTCAAAGCTTTGTTCTCGATGTCGAGTTTCCTTCTCGCCTTCTCGTCTCTCTTCTTTCGGCACTGGTAAAGCTCTTCTCTGCTATGCATTTCTCCTTGCAACTCATCAATCCTAGCTTCCAGTTCCTGTTCCAAGGTAATAGAAATAAAAAAGTTGGTAAGACTCCCGAAAGCAAAAGAGCTCTTACCTGGATTCTTTCCAAAAGCCGCTCTTTCTCGTTGAGAAGAACGCACTTGTCATGCTCCAACCTGCGATCTCTTTCCAAGGCCGATTCAAGCATATACTTGAGCTCCGCCTTCTCTCGTTTCAGTTGAGCCTCTCTGTGCTCGCAGTCCAGCTTTTGCCTCTCGGCCTCCAATCTCAGCCGCTCGTAAGCGCATTCTAACGAGTTGAGGTAGTCCACCAACGCGGCACTCTTCTTCTCGAACTCGTTAATCACAAAATCCTTACAATTATCCCTATGAAGCAAAACAATTCCATCGATCACAGCGCAAGCGTCAGGCCTGCAGCATTGAGAGAACTTACATGGAAGAAAATCGAGACTGCCCAGCCGCTCTGCCCAAAATCTAAGGCTGTGCCTCAAAATCTGGCAAGACCTCCTGCCTGTGCCCTACATTGCGCCAATGCCAGCGCCCACCGCGCATCAAAATCCTCTGCCGCGCATCATGGTCTCCCATTCCCCGCCATACAAGAGCGCAAAAACCCTAGAACTCCCGCACCTATTCCTATCACGCTTACGTGGACGCCGGGGCGCGATGGACGACTGAGATTCAACGTTATCTGGCGGGAAAAATGTTTTGAAACTTTAGGGTTTATTGGTTGCATTCAAAGTGGACCACCAACCACATAAAGGTAGTGGTCCTAGGGTTCTTCGCACACTAATTAGCGCTCAGCCCAGGGCTCTCTTCCAGGTAAGAAATCGAGATTAGGGTTCCTAGATCCATATCTAGCTAGCTACAATCTCAATCTCATTGGAATGCACGATCTTATCGAGAAATTTGGACTCCATGGATGCTTCTTTGGTTTCATTTTTCTTCCACTCCTGTTGTTTTCTACCTGTATTTCGCCGCAGCCGCAAACACGATTGAAAAGAAAGAGAGGAAAAAGAGAGAACTTCTTCCAAAGTCTTTATCTTTGGTGTAGTGTGGGGCTGCTTTTAAGTTACATGTAACATTCTAAAGCTATCCGTCCGGCTCTTTGCTCAGGAATCCACCATTGCGGATCGAGACAAAGCCGATTCTTTGGTGGTGGAGTGTCAACAAAGTATGATTTCTTCTTTTTTTTTTCTTCTCTTCTTTCGGTGCTTCCTCATCTTGTTCTTTTGGTTCGCTTCGAGCTGTCAAATGAATTCATTTTGCTGGTAAGTTTGTTGGATGATCACGTTAGAAATAAATGCTCTTCGCCACTGAAACTTCCCTGTGTACTGATGCTTTTAAACTGGCAATGGTGGTGCAGGCTGCATAGAAGTCTGGAGATAAAAGCCTGCTGGATTGTCCAAGGCTGAGCTAGAACCGTGCAGAGCGGCAGTGTCCTTTAAGCTGTTCCACGATCGTCGTTCTCTTTTGCCAAGAATGGGCGTGGAAGAGCCACAGCAGCAGCAGCAGCAGCAGGGAGTTAAGTCCTCGTGCTGCGTGGTGAATACCCACGAGCCAATTCTGGTTCCTCCCGCAAAGTCAAGCTCCGCGCAACACAAGGATGAACGCTACTTCCTCACGAACTTGGACCAGAACTTGGCTGTTATCATGCAAACCGTCTATTTCTACAAAGGATCGGGATCATCCGAGCTCCAGCAAGGTACCACTCGTGATGATAATTCTCGAGTTTTGGATGCTGACGATTGTCGTGCAGCTCCACGAGATCCTGTGGATGTTGTCAAGAAGTCACTGGAGGAAATTCTCGTTTTGTACTACCCCCTTGCAGGAAGGCTGGCTTTGAGCCGGGACATGAAGCTGGAAGTTTTGTGCAACGACCAAGGTGCTTTGTTTGTCGAGGCCGATGCAAATGTCTCGCTTGAGCAGTTTGTCAAGGACTCGAAGCTCGGGCAAGGCCTGGATGCAAATCTAAGGCAATTCGTCTACAGCGTTCCTGGTGCAAAGAGCGTGCTCGACATTCCTCCGCTGGTCGCCCAGGTACACTATAAATCTTCTCTCATTTAAAAAAAGAAGGAAAAATTCGTTCTTTGCAATTCACGACCTCTCTTCCAGGTGACCAGATTCCAGTGCGGAGGATTCGTTCTCGGCCTGTCTCTAAACCACGCAATTTTCGATGGTATAGCCGCTATGGAATTTGTAAACTCGTGGTCGGAGCTTGCTCGAGGGGTTCCTCTCTCGGTCCCTCCGTGCCTTGACAGGAGCTCCCTCCGAGCCAGAAACCCACTCCAGATCGAATTCCCGCATCCGGAGTTCCTGGAGGCGGATCAGCCACCCAGCGATCAACCGGCCGAGAACAGCGAACTCGTCTTCAAGTCCATCGCCTTCGATGAGAAGAAGCTGAGCTCTCTCAAGGAAGCCATCCTCCGGGAGGGAGTTCTGGACAAGTGCAGTAGCTTCGAGGCTTTCACGGCGCTGGTGTGGAGGTGTAGAACCATGGCGACGAGCAGTGATCGTCTCTCGAGCAGGCAAACGAAGCTCCTCTTCGCGGTGGACGCCAGGAACAGGCTCTCGCCCGCACTCCCGCGAGGCTACGTCGGGAATGGAATCCTCCTCACTTGCGCTCTCACTAGCGTGGAGGATTTGTTGCAGGGATCGCTCTCTCACGCCATCGAGCTCATTCGCGCGGCGATCGCCAAGATCGACAATGCTTATCTTCGCTCCGTGATCGATTTCTTCGAGCAGACAAGGTTACGGCCGAGCTTGGAGTCAACGCTGGTCATAACAACGTGGTCAAGGCTGGCGTTCCACACGACTGACTTTGGGTGGGGCACACCGCTCTTCACTGCGCCAGCCAGCTTGCCAGAGGCGGAGGTGGCACTGTTTCTACCCCACGGGGAGTCGCGCAAGGGATTCGAACTGGTGCATGGGCTGCCCGAGCGTGACATGAAAACGTTTGTGAGCTTGTTGGAGACCAGCTGGATTTGAAATTTGATTATGGTTTAGATTTAAGCAGCTTGATATTAATCTGATTGTGTTTAATCTGATCTCTTGCGTTGAATCTATGTATACAGGTCCCAGCAAGAGCTTTTAAGAAATCTTCCTCTTCCAGTTTTGGGGCCGGACCTGGAACTCACCTTTTGATTGCTATAGAGGTATGGCTTCTAGATTGGTTTAATTCTTGTAGCTACAAAGCTGCAATAGTGATGGAGACAAAGTGCCAAAACCCTTGTGACAAAAACCATTGGCCATGGATTTTCCCATGGGCCCATAAAACTTTGTAAAAAACTTTAAACTTTCTCAAAACTTGCATGGTCATGAATTTTCTGAAGGTCAACTCAGCACCAAAAAATCCACCTCCACATTCGCATATCAACTTTGTATTTAAGCGACCATGTTCTTAACCTCGTTTGAGATAAGTTATGTATAGCAAGTTTAGCTTTGAAAATTTTGCTTGCCTAGAGAGAGCATTGATCAATCAGATTGCTATTGAAGCTTTTCACCCTTTTTTCCTGTGAAGTATGTTTAGGGCCCACTGAGTATTCGCCGTGCAATCCATTGGACTGATGGTGGCCAACTGTGGGGCACTGATTTGCTTGGTGGCTTTTTCCTTTTTTGCTTTCCCCTTCGTTGTCAGGATCCAAGCCTTGGTTGCCAGCCTCACGCCCGAGAAATGTGTGGCAAAACCATCGCTGTGCATCGCTGTGCAAGCGCTCGACAGCGGGTCAGCTGGGATTCCTGTACCTCTCCTTCGTTTTGCAGGCCGCGGGCTCCGTCCATAGGGCCATGTCGTCTTACTCTTTTTTTGAGTGATTTGGTGCAATCCGTGATCCATGGAGCTTGAAAATCTCAAGTAGCGCAATCCAGCACAATTCCAAGTTGACCATTGATGGAAAATATCGAAAGTTGACGAGAATCATCACATCCTAAAATTCTCAAGTTGCCAAAGACCAAGTCTCGTCCGTTTTGGAGACCATTTTTGAGTTGCAAAACAGGATGGCCTACGCTGCTTCATGAGGATCACTCAAGCAAAGCATGCAACGTTGCGCAGCTTGAACCACTCACAAGATTGGGCGCGTAAATGTTCTCCATGATGACGTGAGCTCTCAATAATTTATATGATTTTTATGACAGCAGTAAAAAAAAATTGTCCATATCGTCTTTACAAAAGTTGAGGGTGGAGATATAATATAATTATAAAATTGGTTAAAGCATGGTTTTATTAATTTCTTACTTGTAGGTGTTTAAGAAAGTTTACTTTCATTGTTAATTAAATGAATTAGCTATGTTAATTTGATTGATTTAATGGTTTGTGAAGAACCCTAATGGCGGAGCTGAGTGCCATGGCGCGGCCGGGGGATGCTCCCGATGAAGACACTAGGCGCGAGCTGAAGGGCAAGGATGAGGACGAGGTGAGTTTTTCTACTATCGCGGAGGAAGATTTTACTCGATCGTTGGCTGATTGCTGCTTGTTTGGGGACTTTAGGAAGCTCACACGCGGCTGGAAGAGATGAAGAAACAAATAGAAGCCAAGCGAGCTCTGCGTCGTGCAAATTTTTCTCCGGATAGACCTGGTAATGTGTGAGAGTGTTGGTGAACCAATCTCTCGATTTTTATTCTTTTTCTTCTTTCCCTTTTCAGATGCAAGTTTCCTTAGAACTTTGGACTCGAGTATCAAACGCAATACCGCTGTGATTAAGAAGCTCAAGCAGATCAATGAAGAGCAGCGTGATGGGTTACTAGAGGAGCTCAAGTCTGTGAATTTGAGCAAGTTTGTCACCGAGGCTGTGACGTCCATTTGCGATGCCAAGCTTAAAAGCTCCGACATCAATGCTGCTGTCCAGGTAAACTTGCTCGATTTCTTAGCGTTACCAAGCACTGTATGCTTATCTTATCTCTCCCTGTTCCAGGTGTGCTCTTTGCTTCATCAAAGGTACAAAGACTTTGCTCCCAACCTCGTACAAGGTCTATTGAAAGTGTTCTTGCCGGGGAAGGCTGGCGAAGAGCTAGACAGTGATCGGAGCTCTCGGGCTATGAGAAAGCGAAGTACTCTCAAGCTTTTGATGGAGCTCTACGTCTGCGGGGTTACTGAAGACGCTGGGATCTTCGTTAGCATTGTCAAGGACCTTACAAGCAGTGACCACTTGCGAGATCGAGAGGCAACGCAAACAAACCTGTCGTTGCTTGTAGCTTTTACACGCCAAGGGAGGTTTCTACTCGGGCTCCCACTGGGAAGTCCTGACAGCCAAGAGGAGGTATGGAATATCACTCCGAGCTAATGACTGGAACGTCCTCGCTTCGTGCAGTTTTACAAAGAGATTAACGCTAGTCAGGATCACAAGAAGCAGCTGAAGAAAATGATACAATCCTTTTACGACTCTGCAGTGTTTCTCCTTCAGTCCGAACATGCGGTAACTTTTGCGATCGGATTTAATTTTCGACGAGTTCATGCTCCCCATTTCTTTTCAGGCCCTTCGTCAGATCGAACACGAAAATGCCCGCATGCTCAACGCTAAAGGAGAACTTAGCGAGGAAAATGCTGCGTCCTACGAAAAAATGCGGAAGTCATACGACCATCTCTTTCGGAGTATTTCCTCGTAAGTCGATTCAATCACACTAGTGGATTTACCGTATTGCTAAACGCCTTTAGACTGGCCGAAGCGATGGACATACAACCACCTGTGATGCCAGAGGATGCTCATACAACGCGCCTGTCGGCGGGGGAAGAAGGGGCTTCTTCGCCTGCAGGAAAAGAACCTGCATCCGTGGAGCCTATATGGGATGACGAAGATACTCGGCTATTTTACGAAAGTCTTCCAGATTTACGGTACTTAATGTCGTTCATTCTAGATTCTAGTTTGCGTCTAATGAATTGTATTAGGGCCTTTGTTCCTGCTGTTTTACTGGGAGAATCAGAGTCAAAATCTGGTGAATCCAAAACGCCAGAACAGGTGAAACACAATATCCTTGAATAAGCCGGTAGCGGTTTCCTTTTTATTCTCTCTTTGTAACAGGAAGTACGAGCTGACTCCGAACTTGGTACAGCGGAAGTTCATGTTCCATCGAATGAGGCCGAGAATGCTAGCGGTGAAGTCGTTCCTGAAGAAAAGAATCCAAACTCTGAAAAGGCTAGAGAGAAGGAGAAGGACAAAGATGAACCTGAAAGTAGCCGGAAGGAAAAGGAACACGAGAAAGAGAAGTGGAAATCTTTTGGGGATGGTGGAAATCTTGACAGCCTCTTGCAAAGACTTCCTGGAGCAGTCAGTCGGGATTTGATCGATCAGCTCACAGTATGAATTCTGGTTGTCTTTTAATCGTATTACTAATCCTGGATTTGCAGGTCGATTTTTGTTACGTGAACTCAAAAAGCAACAGAAAGAAGCTGGTGCGGACGTTGTTTAATGTGCCTCGCACCTCGTTAGAGCTGCTGCCGCACTATTCTAGGATGGTAGCGACGCTTTCGACTTGCATGAAAGACATCACTCCAATGCTTCTTCAGTTGCTTGAAGACGAATTCAACTTCCTCATAAATAAGAAGGTGACTTACAGCTCATTTATTTAAAGCCAGTTCCTATCGTTTGCTCTTTGCAGGATCAAATGAACATCGAAACTAAAATAAAAAATATTCGATTCTTAGGAGAGCTGGCTAAGTTCCGGGTGGCTCCTTCCACCCTGATATTTACATGTTTAAAGGTGAGAACATCGTAGCTAACTGTGATCTCTAAGGAGTTTTCGGATGTTACAGTCTTGCTTGGACGATTTCAGCCACCATAACATCGATGTAGCTTGCAACTTGCTGGAGACCTGTGGTCGATTCTTATACCGCTCTCCAGAAACGTCCGTTAGAATGGGAAACATGCTAGATATTATTATGCGGCTAAAGAACGTGAAGAATCTTGATGCCCGGCATAGCACACTGGTCGAAAATGCCTATTATCAATGCCGGCCTCCAGAGCGATCAGCCCGTGTCTCCAAAGTTCGGCCTCTTTTACATCAGGTAATTCACTTTTGTCTTACAGCAATCAACTGACAGAGAATGTTGTCTTCACTGCAGTACATCCGAAAGCTACTGTTTTTAGATCTCGACAAGTCCTCCATCGAGCGTATTTTGCGACAACTGCGCAAAATGCCATGGGATGAATGCGAGGATTATGTTTTGAAGTGTTTCATGAAGGTTCATAAGATCAAATACAACCAAGTACATCTAGTCGCGTCCCTGACGGCTGGTTTAAATCGCTACCATGACTCATTTGCTGTTGCAGTTGTGGATGAGGTTTGTTTGTTCGTGTTTCTCCTTGTAATATCTTGTAATTCTTTTTGCTTTTCTTTTATCTTCAGGTGCTTGAAGAAATCAGAGTAGGATTGGAGCAGAATGAGTATGGCATGCAGCAGCGTAGGATAGTATTCATGCGGTTTTTAGGCGAGCTCTATAACTATCGACTCATTGACTCCTGCGTAATATTTGAAACTCTTTACCTGATCATCTTTTATGGTCACGGAACTCCCGAGGTATGATTTCTAGGCTTTTTTTTATCTTGGTTTTAAAACTAAACCTTTTGCATGCAGCAAGAACTTCTGGATCCTACAGAAGATTATTTTCGTATCCGACTGGTGATAATGCTTCTTCAGACGTGTGGCCAGTTTTTCGATCGAGGCTCGTCGAAAAGGAAACTGGACAGGTTTCTATTGTTCTTTCAAAGATATGTCCTTGCGAAGGGATCGATTCCTCTGGACGTGGAGTTCGATCTACAGGTAACTTCTATTCGACTCACAGGCACTGAGGTGGTTTTTAACATCGCTCTTGCCCTCGCTACAGGACCTTTTCGCAGACTTGCGCCCGAAAATGACACGGTACGCAACATTCGAGGAAGCGAATCAAGCACTGTTAGAGATGGAAGAAAGAGAAAACATGATGATGGAGAAGGCGGCCAACGGGAAGTACTTAGAGATGGAAGTACCTTTCTCTGCGGAGCCAAGTCAAGTGGTCGGGAACGGAGGCAACGTTCTTCGTCGTGAGAATGGAGTTGACGAAGGCGAGAGCCTCAGTGAGACGGAAAGCGGAAGCATGGACGGACACGAGGAGGAGGAGGACGACGTCGAACGAGACGAAGAAGGCGAGGAGGAAGAAGAAGAAGCGGAGCTCGAGCACGCAGCGGTATCCGAGGAGGACGACCACGTCAAGCTCCGGTGCAAGTCGAAAGAAGTGGATCCCCTTGAGGACGCCGACTTTGAGAAGGAGCTCCGGGCCTTGATGCAAGAGAGCGTCGACTCGAGGAAGTCGGAGCTGCGAGCACGGCCAACGCTCAACATGATGATGCCGATGAATCTGCTCGAGGGGACCAAAGACCACGGTCGAGCACAGGACCCCGAGAGTGGCGACGAAGGCATTGACGAGCACGGCTCGGGACACAACGTGGCTTTCAGAGTTCTCGTGAAGAAAGGCAACAAGCATCAGCTCAAGCAGCTCAAGATCCCGCGAGACTCGTCACTTGTGCAAAGCACGAGGCAGAAAGAAGCCGCGGAGCTGGAAGAGAAGCAGGATATCAAAAGGCTGGTCTTGGAGTACAACGAGAGAGAAGAAGACGAGAGAACTGGTGGAACTACGCAGCCATTGAACTGGTCCTCGTCGTCTCCATCTAGAAGTCCCGGAGGTGGCCGTGGAGGAGCATATGACGCTGGTAGCGCGGCGAGATCCAGCGTTTCTCGCCAGAGAAGGCCTCTGGCAGCTGGTTATGGCCGGAGGAGATAGCAGGCTTGTCACAAACTTCCAGCTTTCCAGCTTTCGCTCAAAGGCGAAGATGTTGCAAGCGCGAGGAAGCGAGAACGAAGCTTATCGCTACTCACACAAGGTTGGAGGCGAGAAGAGCGATCATCCAACAACGAACGCGAAGCGAGCGAACTTAACTTTCGAGGTACTGAGTTTTTCTTCCGTTTTTTTTTTTTTCCTTCTTTCTTGGAGCTAAGCAGTGAAGCTGTGATGGTATATAGTCACTCGAAAGAGAGAGAGAGAGAGAGAAAGAGAGATCGATCGATCGACAAGCCTGTACAAAAAGTCCGAGCAGTGAGTTCTTCGTGGCTCTTCTTCGTGTACATTTATAATGGAAGTATCTTCTATTCGGTTAGCGGAGGATCGACGGCTGCCATTGGCCTGACGTGTACAGTACGGCCGAGATTTCCCTTGCACGCATATAAAAGTTTTTTTAACACTGTAGCAATCCTAATCATTCGCTCGAGCTCAAGAACAGCGGGCGAGCGAGCGCGGCGCCACCGATCGATCGCTCTCGTCGTCGCCGAATTTCGACACGGCCGCGTTTCGCGCCATGAGCCTCTTCGGGCTGGGCAGGTATTTCGATCGATTCTCCTCTTCTTGGAGCTGGCGCTGCAAGATTTCGCTTGCCCTTCCATCGCGCCCCGATCCCGGCATTGCTTGCTTCTCTCTCCCGCAATTAGGGCTACATTGAGCTAATGCCTGTGGCGCTGCTCTCGCAGGAATCAGCGTACCTTCCGGCCTAAAAAGAGCGCTCCCTCTGGAAGCAAGGTGAGTGAGTAGCAAAGAAAGCTATCGGGCTTTATCATTCTCCTTTTACTTTGCTGTTTGCGCGAAGAACTTAAGCTGCTTTTTCTTTTTTATCAGGGTGCCCAGCTTCGCAAGCACATTGATGCCACTTTAGGGAGTGGTAACCTGAGAGAAGCAGTCCGGTTACCTCCCGGAGAAGACTTAAACGAATGGTTGGCCATCAACAGTAATCTCGTTCTTCCCTCGCTGCGTTTTTTTTTTTTGTTGTTGTTGTTGTTGTTGTTCTTGCTCGTATTCCAGGTTTTGAGCTAACTTCAAGTCTTTGCTATGCAGCGGTGGACTTTTTCAATCAGGTGAATCTTCTCTACGGGACGTTGACGGAGTTTTGCACGCCAGAGAATTGTCCAACCATGTCTGCTGGACCGAAGTAAGCTTGGACAGTGACTCGCTCGCTCGTGAATTCTCACTTTAATTGCGTAGATACGAGTATCGATGGGCCGATGGTATTCAAATAAAAAAGCCCATTGAAGTCTCGGCTCCGAAGTACGTCGAGTATCTTATGGATTGGATCGAAGGCCAGCTCGACGACGAAGCGATCTTTCCCCAGAAACTTGGTACGTCTGTTTGGTGATTGGGAGAAAGTGGCATCTAAAAACCTTGTCTTCTCTTCTGCAGGCGCACCGTTTCCTCCCAACTTCAAGGAGGTTGTAAAGACCATTTTCAAAAGATTATTCCGGGTATACGCCCACATATACCACTCGCATTTCCAGAAGATTGTGAGCCTCAAAGAAGAGGCTCACCTAAATACTTGCTTCAAACACTTCATCTTGTTCACATTCGTAAGTATCACTTCATTGAAAGTTTTGAGACTTACTATGATTCATTTGACAGGAATTCAACCTCGTCGAAAAGAAGGAGCTCGCACCACTGCAAGAGCTCATCGATTCTATACTGATACCGTACTAAGCACTGAGCTTCTGGCGTACAAGGTTAAAAATTTTGTGTTTTTGATGACTTTGGGGCTTGTGTATATATATAAGCTATTCTACCTCTTCTCAAGGTGAGGAAGAGATGAAAATAACGAAGCTGGATTCTTTTCTTCCCAGGCTCTTGGTTGGAGTGGCTTGATATGTTCGCTGCGGTGACATTCGAAGAGTTGGTCTCGATCATAAGTTCATGCCGGATACTCTGGGAAGCCAAGCATGTCCACTCCCGGGTTGTGCAAAGCGAACACATGGCTCACTCAGGACTCTACCTCTCCAACATGCTGCTTCAGATGTATGGGAAGTGCCGAAGTGTGGAGGACTCGAGACTGATATTCGACGGGCTCCCTTACAGGAACAGTTTCTCATGGACCCTGATGATGACCGCCTATGGCCAGAACGGGCACGCTCGAGAGGCAAGACAGGTGTTCAACGACATGCCAGAGAAGAACTTGGTGGCCTGGACAGCGATGGTTACAGCTTACGCAGAGAACCGAAGAGTGGACGAGGCAAAGCTGGTGTTCGACGCCATGCCGGCTCGGAACCAGGTGTCTTGGAACGGGATGCTCTCGGCCTATGCCCAGAACGGGCATGCAGACGAGGCCAGGGACGTGTTTGAGGCGATGCCGGAGAGGAACTTGGTCGGGAGCACGACCATGGTGGTGGTTCTCGGGAGCTCGGGCCGGGTGGACGAAGCCCGGGTGGTGTTTGATGGGATGGAGGAGACCGATGTTGTGGCCTGGACAGCTCTCCTGGACGCGTACGCTCAGAACGGGCATCTCTCCGCGGCCAAGGCAGTGCTGGAGGCGATGCCGGAGAGGAACGAGGTGTCGTGGACGGCCATGTTTGGAGTGCTGGCCGAGAGCGAGAGCCTGGAGAGCCTCATGGAGCTGTTCGTCCAGATGCCCGAGCACAACGTTGTAACTTGGACGGCAGCCGTGGTGGCGCACGCCAGGGACGGGAAGTTTGGCGAGGCCGAGGAGCTCTTCACCGCCATGCCGGAGAAGAACCTCGTGTCGTGGAACGCGATGCTGGCGGCGTACAACCAGAGCAGGGATCTCGCCAGTGCCAAGAACTTGTTCGACGCGATGGTGGAGAGGGACGCTCTCTCGTGGAGCTCGATGATCATCGGCTATGGCCAAGCCGGGGACTTGGGGAGCTCACAGAGGCTGCTGGAGCGGTGCCCGGAGAGGCAGCACGGATCGGTGTGGAACGCGATGCTCGCCGCGAAGGCGCACAACAGCAGGGAGGTGGAGGAGACTGTGGGAGTTCTTCGCGAGATGGAGGCCGAGGGGGTGGCGGCGAACGAGACGTCGCTGGTTTCGGTGATGGCGGCTTGTAGCCAAGCCGGGGACGTGGGCGGTGCTTGGAGCTGGATGGTGGCGATGGTGGAGGATCGGCGGCTGAGGCCACACAAGCAGCACTTTTCGTGCGTGGTGGACGCGCTGGGACGAGCGGGGCGAGTGGGCGAGGCGGAGGATCTCATGGCGGCCATGCCGTTTGTTCCAGACGATGTGGACTGGCGGTGCTTGGTGGGGGCTTGCAAGAGGCACCTTGACGCCGGGCGAGCCGCCAGGCACGCCGCCAAGCTGGAGAGGGTCAACTCGGCGGCGCCATACGTCCTTGTGTCCACGGCCATGAAATGGCAGTCAATGCCGGTCAAATAAGTTTAGGGTTTATTGTAAAAACGAGGGATGCAAACAGAACATGCCACCTAAATACTTGCTTCAAACACTTCAGCTTGTTCACATTCTTTTCCTTGCCTTAAAAATTTCGAAAAGAGGTATGGATTCTTTTCTTCAAAAGTTGGTATGCAAAGGTTGGTATGCATGAGGAGGTGCCCCGAGAGGCAGCACGGATCAAAAAGGATGGAGGACACATCCAGGCATATTCTAGGAGCATTTTCAGTTGTGACGTGGTTGTGACAATGCAAGGGCAACAGAGCTGAGGGCTTTGATGGGGAAGACTGGGAGTGGCGAGAGCGACAAATATGAGACTTTGCGGTGTGTAGTCGCCAAGATCCAGCATTTCAGGAAGAGATCTCGTCTCAATCATGGTTGGTCCCGAACGCGTTCGGCTGAAATCCCGACTGCCGCCGAACGCGGTTGGACAGCTCCGTTTGGTATTCCGTTCGGCAAAAAAAAAAAGTGCAAAAAAAAAATTGTGATCACGCTAGATTTCTGATGCTGCAGCCGCTATTGCCATTGCCACTGCATCTCCATTGCTTTGCTGTTCTCCTGCTGCTATGGAGAGATCCATCCATCGGATTCCATCCACGAATGCACAGCCCAGCTGCCCAGCAAGCCTACATAGAATCCGACGAAGAGGGCTAAAGCCTATAGGAGCTGCGTGTGTACCGAGCTCTACAGGGCGACACTCTCTGGCCTCTGCTTTTGATTCAGTGTGGAGTAGAGCAGCTCGCTGCCTCGCAAATTAAATTGCCCAGTCCGCAACGTTTGAAATTTTTGCCCTAAAATGGAAATTCCAGTGATTTCAGAGATTTGATTCTAGCGATTTGTAGCAATTCTGGCACAATTGAGCGATGGTGCCCGATTGGGCATGGTCCCATGTTACCAAGCTCACTCCTTATGCTTCCGGCAAAGGAGCTGGGCGTTGGAAATGTAATTATTGTGGTAAAATGTATGACGGTCTGCCGAAACGAATCAAAGCGCATCTTGCTAAGTTTCTGGGCATGATATTGAAGCATGTAGTGCTTCAAACGTTCCTCTTCATGTTCAGAACCAAGCTCGCTAAATGTTTGTGGAGCAAATCGCAAATGCCCTTTTGTCTGAATGAAGTTCCTAGAGATTGATCTCGACACAATTGCAATCGAACCACAATGGATGAGGATTGTAAAGATGCAAGCTAGGCTTGAATCTCTTGGTATAGAAGATTTAGCCAAAGAAGATCTTCCAAATGAAGATGTGATTGTTGAGGAAGATGCCGGAAATGTTAAAGAACTTGCCGAAGATGTTGAAGAAGATGAATAGTAGTTGATTTGGTTTGGTCTAATGCTTTGGTTTAGTTTGGTTTGGTTTAATGCTTTGGTTTTCTTACTTTTATTAATGTGGTTTTACTAAAAATGTTTTTTTTTTATCAAAAAAATTTTGTGAACTATTCGGTCGTTCAGCATTTTCACAGCCGGTCGATAACCATAGTCAGGCGGTTGGCTGGTTGGCGTTCGGAACGGTCAGGACCAACCATGGTCTCAATGCTGTGGAAGACTTTATCCATCAGCAAGGCTGGTCTGTGTTTGAAATCCTTGAGGATATGACGGCATGCAGCGCTTCCCATCCCTGTCTTCACGGGAAAAGATTTTTGGAACTGGGCAAAAGAGATTTCCTTTAGTCACTAATCTCGCAGTTAGTGGCACTAGGAGAGACGGTTCCTGATGAAGACAAGCAAGCAGTACTTCTCAATGCCCTGACCGGGCTTGAGCATCAGGCTCTCAAGACAACTCTGATGGAACAAAACACTGCTAAAACCTTTGCTGAGATGCAGGCTGCATTGAACGAAAGAGTCCCAGAAGAGGCTGAGCAAGTTGCTACAACCGCAGTGCTCTTTGCAAGCCCCAGTTGCAAGGCCCAAGAAGCAAAGAATCCTCCAGCATTGAGAGGAGAGAGCAATGCCTCGGACAGGTTTCAAGGCCAGGAGCAGCAACAATGCTTAGAAGGCTAGGGTCTGCAACTCACGATGAAAGAAAGGTACATGTAACTACTAAAAGCAAGCAAGTGGGACATTAAAGACTTCCATGAGGGCTTGGGAAGAAGAATGTCACGACCTGGTGCTAAAACAACAAAATGTCAAATCTCCCTAAGATTACATTATATTTCCTTTTGAGGTTTCTTACCACTCCATCAGGGTAGGTTAAGTTAAGGGGAAAACTTGCTCAAGCTTTTAATCCAGTCATTAAAGTGTTCTATTGCTCATTTGACGAAAAGATCATTTATACAAAGATGAAATTTACTTTATATTCCCAAAATTGACAATGCTCAATAAGAAATTCCCCAAACTCTATGAGTTTGATTATAGTATTGCAATCTGATGATATCCACTCCTTAGACCAATCTTGGTAAACACTTATGTTTCACTAAGTTTATTTAATATATCATCCTCAACAATATTATTATTCATTGTTTTGTTGATCAAAGCACGATACTTAATACACATTTACATTGAACTGTCCTAATTCTTCATAAGCAAGATTATGGCATAAAATAAAAATTAATTTGGTTGAATAAATTCAAACTCAAATACTTCCTTGATTTATTATTGAACTTTTTGCTCCTTTACATAACATCAAAAAAGTCCTTGAATACATCTTATATTATTGCCTCTCCCCTATATGTGCTTGGTCCCCCCAAGTCATGAACAAATAGCAAGTAATTTGAAAGTTTTTGTCTATTATAACAAACTTACTTCAAAGATGCAATGGAGAGTATAATAATTAGAGGTTAAAGTTCCTCTTTAAACCATATATTTTTTACGTCATTGTACTCACACTTAATGTTCCACTTTATCTCAAGATCCATCTTCGTTAACTATGGTATCCCAAGAGTAAAATCCACAAAACAGATATTTATGAAATAAAAAGTTTTCAAATGTGTGGTTTTGCCAACTAACACTTCTAACCCCTCCACACAAGCATTGAAATATTGAGCAAAGGTAACTGCACTTTCCATTATATATAGAAGAACTCTTCATGGCACCAGGCCATGCTCCTCAACAAACTTTGTCAAAACAAAATTGTTATTACTCCTACTATTTAGTAAAACTGGCACTAAATTGCTATGGAACACACCCTTTGGCATTAAAGCTGATATGTCCTCAAACTCCATTTTATTCTATATACAATTGAATTAATGAGGAATAATCAAAAGCCTCTTCCTCTGACTGGAACAATTTTCCCTATCATCCTCACACCGTAAAGTTTACAATTTTTTTAGTATCTAACTTATTATTAGTAGAAGATTGACCATTCTTTTTGCTCTATTACTTGTGCTTTGGATATGGATAATCAACTTTGTAGTATCCAAGCTCACTATAATAATGACAACTTTAGCTATAATTCTTTATAAAAAAATTTTGCTTCTTTGTATCCAAAATAGTCACTACAAACTTCAATTTGTAATTCTTGTTCCCATCCTCGTGTTTATAGTGATCATCATTACAATTCTCTACTCCTCAAACACTTTTGAAACTTATGCTTGTCATTATCAAGTTAAGGAACTGTATCAAAGAGCTCTTCCAAACTCTTTATAGGTTGAGAATGATGCAAGTGTTGCCACATGCTCTTATTATGAAAACCATTAATAAAATAGGATTTGTTTTGATTTGGATCTATCATTAAAACATAATTAATCAAGTGAGTAAACTTCTCAATATAGTCCTTTAGCATCATTTTTGCTTGTTGAAATTATCAAAGTTCTATGCAATGTTATAATGAAGGGTAAAACATAAATGAAAAATAACCTCAAACTCCTCCATGGTAAACACTAATGGCTTTTATTTGCAATACAAAACTCCTTAAACCAATTCCACCACTAAAGACCCACATCATGCAAAACCATTAAAATAACCACCAAAGCTTATGCATCTGAAGTCCTCTAGTTTCACCTTCTCACCACCAGAATCTATCCCATTAAGTGTTCGATAGTGTGGGCATAGCCGTTTTTGGGCTTGCTTGATAAAGAGGAAGTTCAGCAGTTACACATACAAAAGAAAAAACGTAAAATAAGAAAAAAAAAAACCTTCAAAGCTAGTTATGCCTGCCATAAGTAAGAGAAGCCATCCTTGAGTTATTTTTCTACAACATACAACTGGGATGTGTGAGATCATGGTCTCCAATGGAAAGATTCTGAGCTTACCACGATTAGCAATGGATCATTGCTGGTGCACAAGGGATGGATATGAAGCTTGGAGTCTGCAAAATGCAGGATGCATAAGATCAAGTCTCCATAGATCCTGTCAAGCTTAACACGTTTGACAAGAGATCATCCAAGGCTGCTAGATCGTTTCTGGCCGTAACGAGAGATGGATATGATGCAACATGCTAGGATGCGTAAGAGTCAACCTGGTCTTCAAAGATCCCGAGCTTACCACGTTTACTTTGGTCATACGAGAACAAAGGCTCACAAGCTCGAGGAGCAAGAGATGGATATAAATCTCCAAGAATATTGTGTACCGCTCTTGGCAAACGCTGTGCGAAAAATTTGACGAGAAAGGAGCTGCGATCCCTCGATTGATCGTTAAGGATCAAACGCATATTCTATATGTGTTTAAACAATAAGGCGGGAAAAATCCCAAAGAGGCTCTTTTCTTTATCTTTGGATGCCATGCTACCATGGATACAAATGCCTGTGCACAACTAATAAGGTCTTGTGAGTCCCTGGCACAGGCAAGAGCCATCCATGCTTATATTTCAAAGAGCCAGCATGCTGCCAGTGACAACTACAGATACCTCTCCAATTTGTTGGTCCAAATGTATGGAAGGTGTGGAAGTGTCGAAAGCGCCAGAGGCGTCTTTAACGAGATCGTCAACAAGAATTCATACTCCTGGGTGCTGATGATCTCCGCACTTGCCGCAAATGGGCATTTTGAAGAGACCAAAAGGTCTCTCAATGCAATGCCTCAACAAAACCTTTTTGCATGGAACACTATTCTAGTCGCTTATGCGCAAAGCGATCATTTGGAAGAGGCTGAATCTGTGTTTTTTGAGATGCCCCTGCAGAACATTATTTCATGGACTGCCATGCTCGAAGCATATGCCGGATCTGGGCATTTTCTCAATGCAAGAAACCTCTTTCACTCCATGCCCGAAAGAGATCTCGTTTCATTGACTGTTATTATAAGTTTACTCGGTCAGAAAGGCCATGCGGAAGAAGCAAAAGTTTTATACGACGAGACCCCTTTGCAAGACTTCATTTCAAGAACAGCTATGCTTGCAGCATATGCCCAGAACGGGCATTTGGAAGAAACAAAGAGAATGTTTGACACAGCTCCGGAGTGGAACTTGGTCTCTTGGAATGCACTGCTCACGGCATATATCCACAAGAAGAGACTCGAAGACGCAAAGTGTTTCTTCGATAGCAGCCCGGAGAAGAACATGGTAACTTGGACAGCCATGCTGGTGGCTTATTCGGAGAACGACCACCTGGAGCTCGCCAAGAACATCTTCGACGGGATGCCCGAGAGGAGCACCGTGTCTTGGACAGCGATGGTGTCCGCCTATGCCCAGGCCTGGTATATGGACGACGCAAAGTTCCTGTTTGTGGAGATGCCGGAGCACAACTCCGTGTCCTGGAACGTGCTGCTCACGTCTTTTGCTCGCAACGGGCTGCTGGGAGAGTGCCGGAGAGTTTTCGATTCGTCTCCACAGCACTGGCAGGACACGGCGCTGTGGAACGCGATGATGACGACGTATGCCCAAAACGGGCACTCGGAGGAGTGCATGGGGCTCTTCAAGGTCATGGAAGTTGAGGGCGTGAGGCCCAACGAGACCTCTTTCACTTGCGCGTTGCTTGGCTGCAGCCATCTTGGAGATTTAGAATCTGGCTTGGAGTTTTTTGTGTCCATGACTGGTGACCATGATCTAAGACCGAACAAGCACCACTTTAGCTGTATGATCGACATACTCGCCCGATCTGGGCATCTGGAAAACGCTCGAGAGCTTGCCTGGAGTATGCCGTTTGTCCCTGAGGCTATGGACTGGAACTGCTTGCTTCTGGCCTCGAAGAGTCACAGTGATATGAAAACCGGGAGCAAAGCAGCTAGACACGCTCTCGAGGCTGGTTCCAAGAGCTCGACTCCATATGTGATGCTATCGACAACAATGCGAATGAGAAGATGAAAGGGAAGCTGCACAAACCAAAGATATAAAAACACTCACATTCTCTAGCGGAGAAAAATTGGCTGGAGTGAAGGGTCTGATCAACTTGTATTGTCTCTTGAGAAACTGTGAGGCAAAGTATTTTAAGCAGTGTGTTTGTCGCTTGCAGCTCGAATCCCCATTCGCTGGAAGTTTCACTTGCTTTACAAAAAGTTCTCACCTTAATGATATTAGAATATCCGGGAAATTCTAGAATATTTATCAATCTAAAATTCAAAGAGGAACAAGATTATTTCCAGTAAGTTCTCTAGATCAGTGATGGAAGTGAGTAATTGTGCAGGGCTTCCATCGGAGGCCAAATGAGAGCTGTATGTTCTCGGCTACTGGGAACAGCCGAGTTCGTGCATTCTACATCTTGAATCCTCAAGGCCTGCTCGACATGTTCCACGAGAACAAAAAACTTGGAATCTATGTGGGTGAGCAAATCATTTTCTCCTTTTCTTCAGGAGTATTGATCCACAGAACGATTGTATCCTTTTCTAGAAATGTTCCTAAATAAAAATAAATTCAATGAAATTTACCGGATATTGTCCTTATTCAAGAACATAAATCTTAAGAAAACTTTTAATACCTCATAAATAATGTGGCTCACACAGTAACATGCTTAAACTTTTTATAGAGTGTTTAACATTTTTCTTCTTCATTGTTTTTATAAGTAATTTTGTTGTCTTCCTTTCTCCCAACGAGGAACTTCTGACATGTAGAGATTCATATTGTAAAGATCCATACCGATCTCATTGGATTGATCCATGAAAGATAGAAGGGGAAAAGGAAGGGTAAAGAAAAAGTAGAAGATCCCTTCCATATGTACTTGCATGCAAGCCCACCCTACCATACATGCTCACTCGGTATATCACCATACACCTCTGCTTCCACTGTGTAATCTGACTGAGCACCTCCTAACATCACATCCCCTCTTGAAAGGATCCGTTGGTCCCACAACATCTACTGGCAAAACTGTAGTTTCTTCATACAGCCGATGACGAAGGTTATGGTAAGCCACCAACCACCTTGTCGGGCTGAAGCAGGATCTGATCGTCACAAACTTGCTAAGGTAGCATTGATGACTGGAGGACCAACATGGAGTTTCAACTCGGAAACATGGAAGACCTCGTGGATTCTGGATGCACCAGGAAGATGCAACCTGTAAGAAACCTCGTTCACACGCTCCATAACCTCAAAAGGGCCTAAAAACTTCGGGTGAAGCTTACAACGAGTAGCCCAGGGTGTGCCATTCCAGTCGAAACTTGACGTAGACCAATTCGCTCACCTGGAATTTCCAAAACGAATGGGACTTATCGGCAGAGACTTTCATGGCCTGGCAAACTACGTCCAGATGACGTTGCAGATGTTGCTGGAACTTCTCCATCTCTTGAATATATAGTTGTATCTCTCTAGTTTCACTACATTTGCTGGAACTTCTCCATCTCTAGTTGTATATTCTTAGAATATTCATTATTTTATTGAACAATGTAAAGAAAAATTTAAATAAATGTACCAAATTACCACAAAGAATAAAAAGAACTAGCAATAGTAACAAAGAATCTTTCACTATTTTTATAGCTGATTTAAAATTTTAAATTCCTAGCAACTTCTAGAACCATTTAATCCCCTCTATTTGAATGGAGCAATTTAATATCCATCTATACAAGTCTAAATTGTGGCTGAATGCTGAAAGATATTATTGGCTCAACCCTAATTTTGTGAGTGATTAATGATCCAAAATTAAAGTTTTTTGCAACCCTAAAAAACACTATTTAGTGACTCATTTGAAAATGCTCTAGACGCCAATCAGTTCGTCAAGAAACACCAAATGGTGTATTTTGGATGCCTTAGACACCATTCAGTCACCGAATGGTGTATTGGGCAACCCTGAAAAACACCATTTGGTACCAATTAGTGTTTTGGGATTTCCAAGCACAATCACTGAGTTGTCATTTTTGTTATGGTACAGAATAAAGTCAGAGAGGCTCAAGCCGACATTTAGTGTTAATTTGGCATTAGCCACTGCCACTATTTTATCATTCAAGTGTGTTGTGAGTGATTACATTGTTTATCTTAAAAGGCTGAATTTACTTGCAGTGATCTCCATATTTTTGCGAAAGAAAGCTTTATAAATCTTAGTCTTATTATTTTAAGGCCAACTTTTGAGAGACTTAACTTGAATAACTTATTTGATGAAATTGCATGATCTAGTTAGAGTTTAATAATATGTCCTCCAAAAGTATAAATGACAATGAGGATGATGTTAATATGGTAGATCTTCTTTTGAATAAGGGATTTCTAGAAAAGTTTAAACATAGACTCCACAAACATCACAACCGTGCAAAATGAGCAACATTTTGTGTTTAAAGAATTCTTATAAGTGATGATTAATAATATACATCTTTAAACCCTTCACTACATATTTTTAAGTATATATTGTGATGTGATTGCTAGATTAGTTGCAAGGAGAAAATCGGGGCAAGTTGATGAGCATGCAATTCAAAATGAATGATGATGGAGACTTAGTTATAACACTGTTTAAAGACTTGGATTTGGAGCAAGAAATTTTCATATAGGAAGGGGAAGCATCTGCATAGGCAAGGGGACAGGAGCATGCTTGAGTGCTACAATCTCACTTCCCTCCTTTTTGGGAAAAACAGGTCCACAGTGTATCAGGGACTGATGAAGGGGAGGCAAGCGTTTGTGTTAGTGCGTCCCACTCCTTTATCAATGTCCAGATTGTGGGTAGTGACACAACCAGCATCTGGAGGTCGAAATTGCCAACAGAGGACTGATACGGGTGGATAGAGTTGATTCAGAGTTGATTCTTTTTCCTTTGTGGAAAACTTTTATGTGATGGAAATGGGGGCGGTTGATGCGGTTCTCACCTCCCCATAAAAGGCAGTGGCTGTGCAGTTGAGGCTTCACAATCTCCCCTCCATTCCACCGGCTGCCCTTCAAACGTGAAGGAAAGACGCTGATCCACAAAGTTGATGGTGATATCTCTGAAGCATTGCAACATCTGCACCCCCAGAAGACAATGCGAGACAGTGGCTGCGAGCCTGACAAGCTTGGTTACAACATTCTCATCTCGGGCTTCTGGCAGTCTGAAAACGTCGAGAAGGCGATCAAGGTGATGCAGCTGATGCTGGACCTGGTTTATGCCCAGAACTGGGATCTTGATGAGACGGAGCTTGTCTTTGCAAGGATGCCTTGTTGGGACCCGTTGGCATGGATGGCCATGATTCAGGCACACTCTCAGAATGGAAATCTTGAGATGGAAAAGGCTACGTTTGACACCATGTCCACACGAACTGCTTTTCCATAGAACTGCCTTATTTCTGCGAATGGCATGTAGGGGCATTTGCGTCATGCCTGCGTTACCTTTGAGAAAATGCCTGTCCATGACAAAGTTTCATGGAAAACTATGGTTTCTGGCTTCACCCAAAATGGCCAGCTTGTGGAGGCTATTAATTGAATGCCCAAGCGGGATCTCTACGCTTGGAATTCAATTTTCCGGGCATTTTCCCAGAATGACGACTGGAAAACCACACTGGAGCTCGTTGGCTCAATGCTCCTCGAAGGAGTGAGACCGAGCTACATCACTTACATGAGCATTCTCACAGCTTGCAATCACAAAGGCATGGTCAACTCAGCAAGGGAGCACTTTGGGATCATGTTGGAAGCTCATGGCATTTTGCCGGTGATCAAGCTTTGATAGATTTGCTGGGATGAGCAAGGTGGCTGGAGCAAGCTGAGGAGCTGCTCCACAGCATGCCCTTTGCAGCCGACAAGATTGTTTGGACAACTTTGCTAGGGGCTTGTGCTGTCCATGGTTAGATTGAATGAGCAGCAAGGAATGCTCTTAGACCAAATCCTTGCAGTGATGTTGCCTTTATGTTGCTATCAAATGCACACAGCTTGATTTAGTTCTATGCTTGTCCAAAAGTGTGATTCTTATCAGTTAGAGGAAGGAGGATGGAAATCCAAAGAGTGTCACATCGTGTTGCATATAGGTGAACCTGTGGAAGGATTATTGAGACACAATTATGAATTGTAAACATGGGGGCTATGTTAGGAGGTATAGTTGATTAAGATATAATATGTTCTTAAACTTGAGTAGTACTAGTTGGGTATTAGGAAGTTTAAACTTAAGAGCTTATATCCTGGTTTAGCCATATGCACTTTTGTATATGTGCCTCCTTCCACTTGTGCCATTGCCTGGGAGCAATTAAAACCTTTTGCACCTGGAAATAAATTGCTAAAAAATAATAAATTATTATAAGCCTTGGTTTTAAGTGCCTGTTAAGATCTAGGTGTGCCTTTGGAAAGATTGAAAGATGATTTTTTCTTTATTTTTAATATCAATAGTTTAGCCACAATTTGGAAGATTGTGAGTAGAATAATCCAGTCTGATACCTTGCAAGATACCTCCTCTTTTTTGCAGTGGCTAATTTAACATTTTATAGGATGGAGTATGAATATGCATACTAGATGGGCAAAATCATGTTCCAAATTATCAACATAGCTGTACCATCATCTTTGCTTATATATTTTATAGAGGTATTTCCAGAAGCCCAACAAAACAAAAGACACTGTGGACAGAATAATGATTTTGAGGTCTTGTGCACTGAAGTTTTAGCTATATATATATTTATAAATATAAGCCTGGTTAAAGAAATTAGTTAATATAAATTTTTCTAATATCATTTAGATAGATGGCAATAGATTCTATTTAGATCAATAGAAATGTTTAATATGAGACTAACATTAATCCAAGCTGCAAGTATATGAATTATATATTAATTTCTCCTATTTTACTTTGAAAGCAGCACTAATATATTCTATTATATATTGATAGTGTTATTATATTATATTAAATAAAATATTATTGGGAGGTCCAAGTGTATAACTAAGATGCCATATACTAAAATTAACATAGTGGGATTTTGATAGAATTAGTTTCAATCCGAACC